TACATGAAGTATTTTAAGTTGGTGGAACGCACTAAAAACATTATCTTTAGCGAGTTGAAGGTTCAATTTTCTGGAATAATACCACTGGTAATATACTAGTAATGCGTCAAGGAACTTCCTGTTTCCTTTTTTTTTCCTTTTTTTCTGTGTAGTATGATTTAATGTGACCAAAAACACATAATATTTAACACTGAAAAGGAGTTCAATTTACACCAGGTAAAATTTATTTTAATACTTTGTGAAAGTTAAATTTACACTATTTTAGTATTTAAATTTACACCGGACAACAAACCATATTTAACACCATTTTGGTTTGTATCGATATAGACCATGTATGGTGTTAATTTGGTGTTAAAATGAAATTTTGAACAGTGTATAGAGACGTTTGGCAGGCTCCATCGGCTTCGCCTTACACTGATCTCCCTGGGACTATTTTTAACCCCTTTACGTTCTCCTACGTATCCCACAACTGCCCAGCATTACCTGTTTGTTGGATCCGAATTTTTACATCGGCTGGTAAATCTCCCCTAGGAGGTAGTGGATGACGATGTCGATGGTTAAGGCCATTCCTGGTATTTTGTCGCCGGGTGACCATACGCCCAGTTTAGGCTAGTGGAGTGCGGGATAAGGAGAAATAATAGGTTGGATTTCGGAGGAAATTGAACTGACCCAAAACTAAGTACAATCCGGAAATCTCCTCAACCAGGGCTTTAGTAATACCTCATTCAATTGGAATTCTTGAATAAGGGTAGGTGGGTTAGTACGCTGCTACTACCTATCCTCGTTGGTTTACTTCCTGTTCGTCATCCGTGTCACTGTTCGAGTTGGATTCAGGAAGTTGGTACAGTTTTTCCGTCGCTTCCCGCATCAGATTTTTGTGAGTGCTGATGTGTTTCCATCGGTCGCGGTCGATTTGTGAGAATTGAATTGGCTGAGCGAGGGTGTCGTGGAACGTAAAGCCAAGGTCTACCGACTTTTTTGTCAATGAGGTCCAGTCTTAAGGTGGCTTGAAGTATGTGGTTTCAGCGTCTGCGCTTGGCATGGGCCCAGTATTTTGGTTGTGCCACCCTGACACGTTTGGTGATTGTTTTTCCTTCTAGAAGGACGCTGGGCGATTGGTTCTGTAAATCCGTTAGGTCCGTCGTAAACAAGGTGAGAATTTTGCGTTCAAATTTGCGAAGATTTTGTCGGTTTCCCTTGGTCAGAGCGCATGTGTTTAGTGCGAATGTCACCGTGGGAGCGATCGTGTATATCAACTTCCGGAGCTTCCATGGAAGACTGTGTTTTTTTATAAATATGTTTAAAATCCGAGCCGAGCGCGTGGCTGTGTTTAGTCTTTGTTTTATGGTTTCAGGGCGGTTTAAGGTGCTGGTAATTGTAGAGCCGAGGAATTTAAGACTGTTCTCGAGCTGGAATGTGTACTAGCCTATTATTTACACCAGTGTTGTGTGGTCTGGTCGGGTTACGGATTAGTATTTTGTTTTTTGCTTCATTGAGTTTTAGTACGTTTGCGATCATGTGTGGTAAGAACCTTAGTGAATATTTCTATTTCTGTTAGGTTATTCGCGACGAGAAGTAGATCGTCTACGAAGGTTTCGTCTGTGTTGATCCGACGCCTTTATGGTGTTTTCAATTAACTGATTAATGTTTTTAGGTAGTGGTTCTGTCGGTGTATTAAGAGTCTGGTTGGCCGCTAGCCGAAGACTTTCTCTGATGCTTGACCAAATCTCAGTTACGTTATTTATGTCAGGGTTTTTTGATAGTTGTATCTCTTTTAACGCGTTTTTGTAGTTTAGTTGTCCGTAGGGTCTTTTAAACACTCTGTATACCATTTTGTCGGTTTTATTGTGGAGCACAGTCGCAGGTCGCAATAAAGTAGTTTATGATCTGTCTTTATGTCAAGTGGCCAGGTAGCTTTACAGGGTTTGTAAAAGTAACCGTTTGAGTACTTTCTTAAAATGAATTAGTCAAAAATGACTAATTTAATAGTTATTAGTGGCTGCTTTTTCACTTGTACCATGGTTAACCATGGAGTACCATGGTATCACAAAATTTAACAGCCAATTCTTATGTAAAATTGTCCCCTAAATCCGAAAATACCGTCAATGAATGTGGAGCAGTTTTTCAGATATAGTCAATTCCATATTAAATGGAAAATTAACTATATCTCAAAAACTGTTTTACTTTTTTAACTTTTGATGACATTTTCGGATTTAGGAGACAATTTTACATAAGAATTGGCTGTTCTATGGTTAACCTTGGTACAAGTGAAAAAGCAGCCACTAATAACTAGCAAATTAGTCATTTTTGACTAATTCATTTTTAAAGAGTAGTTTCGTAGCATGTGGTCTATTTGCGATTTCGATGATTTATTACGCCAAGTTCTTAGTATTGATTTATGTTTTGAAAAGGTGTTGTGTATTCGGAGCTTAAACAGCTGGGCCAAGTTAATAAGCTCTTGACCGTTTTCGTTGGTTTCACTATGTACTAATTGCCTGCCTACCGTGAGTTTATCTTTGTCTGCGTGTATTGTTTTACTTAGGTGTGCGTTGAAGTCCCCTATCATTGCTACTTTTTTGTTGTTAATGTCTATTTGTTTTGTTAAATCGCTGTATGTCTTTAAGTTGCGTTTATCCGACCGATTATGGGTGGATATTACGCAAAGTCTTTTTTTATTATAGGCTAGGACTATTGTGACGATGCTGTCTGAGATGGGGTAGAATTTTGTCATTTGGAGGGCCCTAGATCGTCTTAGGAGTATCCCTACTCCCCTTCGGGTCGAATTGTTGTCCTCCGCTTAAGTACCAGTCGTACGTGTTTGTTTTAGCGCGTCCAGTTGCCATGAATGTTTCTTGTAATGCTATTATGTCTAGATTTAGTTGGGATAGTGTGTCGTCAATTATGTCCCTCTTGTCTGCTTGCCTACAGCCCCTTACATTAAGTGTGCCTATTTTTATAGTGTGTTGTTGTGTACTGTTGTCCAAACTTGCCAACCCGTTACCGGTCGATTATGTTTGCGTGTATTCCCCGTTACCGCAGGCTCTTATGTTGGTTATGTTTTCTGCCTCTGTTAAGCAAGGCACCGCGGCTTGTGTCAATGTTGGCCAGATATGTACTATACTGTCGTAGTGATTGTTCCAGTCCTGCCTAGTCTGTAACAAATTGCGATTGACCGGTTGTTGTCGTTCTGTCTGAAGGATAACTTCAAGTTATTAACTTGTCTGTGCCCCCCTGTTCGTGATGTATTTCGATTGCGACGTTAAATATGTCCGATGCTTGTTTCCCATCCCACCCAGAAGCTGTTTTGTAAGTGGTCCTTTAAGTACGTCTCTGTTTTACGTTCCCAGTCGTTAATATGCGCGTAACGGTGGGGTTAATCAAGGATCGCATCCTGTACATATGGTCTGATGTCTCTATGTGGGTTCTGATGTGGTAGTTCAGTCTTTGTCTTAATGCGAGTGTACTTTCTATTGTTGACCTAGTCAGGCTATTGTCTAGTTGGTGTGCTAAGCTGGCCACTAGGCAATTTCCGTCGGATGGAATTTTAATACTGAGTGATCAATCGTATTGACGATTTCCATGTTTGTTTTGGTTTGGGTTTATTAAGATTTATGGCGTTTATTTATGAGTTTAGTCGAATGTTTATTTGGGGAATGGTGCTAATGTCTTATGTCTGCCTTTTTCTGTTTTGTTTATGTATTGATTTATGGGTTGGCTATCCCTATAGGGATCTGTTTATTTTCTGATGCCTGCTGGGGTTCTTGGTAATTTACGTTGCGAAGTATATTATGTTTTACGTTTAGATTATACAGTAGAATAAATTTGGTATTGTTATTAGGACATGCAATTAGAAAAAATACTTAGCTAGATTAGTTAGATATGAAATCCTCATGCTTTGTCTTTAACGGGCTGTCCGTTGTTTCTTGACCACGCAAGTTTTTGGCACGCGTTGATTGTGGTGGTCACCCAGGTAGCCAGGTAGCCCGGAAGGCTCATCGTTGTGACCTAGCCTTAATCACTCATTCACTCACACAGCACTTTATGGCTTAAACTAGGGGCCACCCGCACTTTTCGCACTTTTCACACTTATTATTTTTTATTTATTATTTTTATTATTTGTTTTATTGGTTTTTCAATCGCCTGTATCCGAAATTACCGGTATTGTTGGATTCTTAGATTCGCTTTTGGTACTTGCGTTTGTTTCGTTTACACTGCTTAGGAGGGTTCTCGTTAAAGACCGTAGCCCAACCTATCACTTCAAGTGTTAGAACAAGTCTGATAAACCAATAAATATGTATAATAATTATAATAATATTCATTTACATAACTATCCTTAAGAATTAAAATATTTATATTAATTTCATTACCATAAATTTACACAAAACCTTGTTTAACTTGTTCGAGAATAATAATTTTAGTTTTTTTATAGAAATATATATTTTTGACGCGCTCCGAGAAAACGGACCTAAGCGTCAGATAATTTTACAGGAGGAAGGAGATAACAGGTGACCGCGCTAGACGGTTGCACAAACGAAGAATATTTAAGGCGTTGTAACATGCAAACTACTCAAAATGTTCGAAAAAATGATACACAGTGATGTTTTGTTACGTTGTATTTTGTTGGTATACCCCAACACCACCGCATAAAAAAATGTTCTGTTTGTATGCGCCCTAATATTAACGCGTCCTGGCGCTTTCTTACGGAGCGCATGCATTACATATATTGTATTATTTTCATAAAATAAAATGATGTTGTCGTTAAATTGACACATAAATTACCTTAATTATTTGGCTGCATTCCTTATTCAAAAATCAGTGGAAATTTTGATATACAGTTGCTGTATACAATTCGGTAATTTTTTAATTTATTTATATTTTATAAATTAAAATTAGGTTAACTTTAGAAAAACAAGCAAAACATGTTTATATAACTTTTTTAAATATTTTTTTTATTTTGCATACAATTTAAACTAAAAATTATATTTTACTTCGAATCTTACCTTGCGGCGAAATGCAAAGGGCTTTCATTATTATTATTCTTAAGATTAATGCAAGCTCCCAGCTTTATCAAGTTTTCAATGCTCCTAATATGACCCTCCCGGCTGGCGTAATGGAGCGGAGAACATCCAGTTATATCCTTTTCATTTAGCAATTGCAGCAAATTTGTTTGTGAGTTTGCCTAAACAGAAATTAGTTTGATTAAAATTTATACTAAATACAAGATAGACCTAATTGCTTAATTTTTACTATGTATTGTTATTTTCAAACAAAAACGCACTTACAAGCAAAGATAGAAAGCTTATGTTGTGATACGTTTCATCGAATAAGATATAAAATTAAAATATCCGAATTAGAAAATAAAACGATTATTTCGGTCGGTTTTAAAATACGTTCGTTTGATAAGATGAAGAATTCGCCGCGTAAAAAGAAATGATATATTCAGCCACTGGTCACGGCAAAGAAGCAATCTCTCTGTGGCCTCGACAAACTGTACAAAATGCAAAAGAAAATCGTCAAGATCATTCAATACTATACAAAATTAAAAAAAAATCCAACTGAAAAAGGATTAAACTCACGAAGAAATTAGTCTCATATGGATACCGTAAACACGGGTGGCTTTGCACCCCGCGCTTTTTATGAAAAATCTTTTCGCGCTCGATAAAAACATTTATAATTTGTTGGTCTTCACCTGTCAATTGAGCGATTCTATTGAGTTTATATTACAGGAAAATAAGTGATTTAAAGAAATAAATGGGATTTATTACACTTTAAAATTGTTTATATTGCATTAGTGCAGAACTCTTAGAAATACACGCGGTACAATTTCTATATTAGGCACAATCCTTTGGAATGATGACCCTTGGTTAACTAAAGGTCGATTTTGTATTTTTATCGGTAATCCCTTGCAATCGCTATATGTCGCTACAAAGAAATTTCTTCTTATGTGTGGAGATATGCACATTTGGAAATATTAAAGGAAACGTGAACATAAAGAGAAATTGGTCGAATAAAAATTTACATTAAATTAGATAAGAGAACATTTTTGAAGAATCCCATATTAATTTCAAAAAGTTGTTTATTTACCACCCATTCTTAAAAAAAATAAGGCAATCCAAAATTTTACAGTATAAAAAAATGTTGAATTTTTAAGTAATTCTTCTGTAAAAATAAAAGTTTTTCCAAACTGAAAAATCTCAGATGACACATTTTTGTTGTTGATATTATCAATTTCAGGGCATAGTTTTGTTAAAAAAACGTTTACATTTTGAGTTGGGTTTTCGTCGTCAATTTTGTTTATTATTATTTTTACACAAGTTTATTTTTTTGGATGAAATAGTTGCGTATTAATTTTATCTGATATTAGTGTTGCCTATGTGTAGCGGCAGGAAAGAGCAATCAGGCTCAAGCACGCATGCAAGAATAACTTTTAACTTTGCCGGTAGACCTAAGTTCTTGAATTTGAGAAACGCCTGAAGCCTGCAATTTACCCATCCAGTGTTACAAGAAAAATACAGTTTACAACAAACTGAAAAGATAAGCTTTCTAGTTTTAGTTTTATTTTATTTTATTTATTTACATTTTAACCAAAATATTAAAGTAGGGAGTGCGTGAGCAAATAGTAAAAAATGGATTTTGGGTATAACTTTAATTTTTAATTCCTGACACGAACAGATTTTTTTTTGGAAAAGAAAAAAATAGGCGTTATATTTTTTTCCACAAAGAATTAAAAAAAAATAAAAATTAGATTAAAGTCAATTTGGATGTGAATAAGTGAATCTAGGAAATAATACCCCTGGAAAAAAAACCACGGAAAAAAAAACCCCGAAAAAAAAAACCCCCGGAAAAAAAAACCCTAGGAAAAAAAACCCCTAGGAAAAAAACCCAAGGAAAAAAAGCCAAAAAATAAATCCCGGTTTGACGAGTGTCACATAAAAAATGCAAAAATTGTAAAAATACCGCAAAAATGAGCGAAACCAACCCAAATCAACCCAAACTCAACAACACAACCCTACTGACCCCGCCCCATTGCCCCCCCCCGCCCCATTGAGTAAAAATCCCCGAAATTGGCAAAAATAAAAAAAAAATTGCAAAAATCAATGCCCAAAAATGCTAAAAATTGTAAAAAAAAATGTAAAAAAATTCTAAAAAAGTTAAAAAAAAATATAAAAAAATTGTTAAAAAATTCCGAAAAAAATTGTAAGGGGGTATTTTTTCCTGTAGGTTTATTTTCCTAGGGGTTTTTTTCCGGGGGTTTTTTTTCCGGGGGTTTTTTTTCCATGGTTTTTTTTCCAGGGGCTTTTTTTCCGTTTACCCGAATAAGTATGTTCAAGATCTTTGATGTATTGAAGACACTGGTCAGCAACCATGTTGCTTTAACTTTAACTTTTCCAGAGTAATTTGGGTGCGCTGATTTCGAAAATTACCATCATTTTGCTCATTTAGATATTGTTTCTGCGATATTTTGAAAAAAAAAACATTTTAATTGTCCCAAAAGTCGCGCACCACCTTAATTCCACAGGAATCCTTGAAAATTATTAAAAAAATCTCCCTTTATTGTTTTAAAGATATGAAAAAGTAAGCATTGAGTTTTTAAACATAAAAATAATAGGTTTACCTTGTTTATATTCCTTTATGTCAGAGTTGATTGAAAATGTAGCTTATTTTATAGAAATGTAGCTTATTTTATAGATTAGGTCTAATGTAATAGTCAAGATTAGACAATGCCTACAAATGGTGTATTTATATTTTTCATTATAATTTTTTACATGAAAAAAAAAACATTTTAATTGTCCCAAAAGTCGCGCACCACCTTAATTCCACAGGAATCCTTGAAAATTATTAAAAAAATCTCCCTTTATTGTTTTAAAGATATGAAAAAGTAAGCATTGAGTTTTTAAACATAAAAATAATAGGTTTACCTTGTTTATATTCCTTTATGTCAGAGTTGATTGAAAATGTAGCTTATTTTATAGAAATGTAGCTTATTTTATAGATTAGGTCTAATGTAATAGTCAAGATTAGACAATGCCTACAAATGGTGTATTTATATTTTTCATTATAATTTTTTACATTGTTCGCAGACATGCGCGTTATCGACAATCTTCACGCGGACATTTAATGTAGGGTTTATTATGATAATGTAAGTAAAGAATTACTTCTTGCGAAGCTTCGAAACCAACCCAAACTCAACAACCCAACCCAACCGACCCCGCTCCACCCTCCCCCCGCCGAATTTTTCAACGAAGGAATATTCATATAATTACATATTATATTATATAACTGCAGCAAAATGATTATGAGGAAGGGTAAATAATTTAAAATATTAATGTAAAATTATAGTTATTTACGATATAAGTGCAATCGCAAAAGTACGTTAATAAAGCGTTATCACACGTATATTGTACAAATTTTTATCTACGCCTCTAAATGAAAAAATAAACGGTAATTATTTTTGTCTAAGACTTAATTTAGGGTTATTTTGACATTTTGACATTTTGACTTTTTTATTTGATTGGTTAAAAGCAGAGAAAAACGCGTGCGTTAATGAACTTCTTATCTCACTCAAAATGAGTGGGATAAGAAGTTCTTATCTCACTGGCGTAGATAAAATATTAATCCTTTTTGCTATATAAATAAAAATAAAAATAAGTTCTTGCCGCTAAGAATCGAACCTGGTATCTCTGGCATATAAAGCGGGCGCTCTTCCATCGGAGCTACCGAGCTTATTGAATAGTTCCTATTGTTTGAAAAATAATACCAGTTTACAGTGTGTGAGGTGTGAAGCTTCCTGTTAACGCGCATGTCTGCGAAAAGTAGCCGGCGCTAGGACTAGACGCTTGTGGATAGTTATAGACTATAACTATCCTGATAGTTATAGTCTATAACTATCCTGACGCTAAAAATGGTCAAAAGTAATCCTCCCTTCTGACAGAATGTGACAATGTGAAGACCCCGCCGAAGGGATATGTGTTGAATTATCGCAGTCTTCCCGTTCTAAAATATAACTTTTTCTATTCAATTTTCAACTTTTTTAAATTTAAAAAAACAGATGTAGATTCAGATTTAGGTCAGATGAACACCCAGAAGCAAATTTGACACATCAGCAGAATTTTGAGATGGGAAGCAATTAGAAGAACTAAAAATACGAAATAATGATATTTCAGAAAAAGAAATATTACCCAGCCCAATTTTGTTTAAAATATTGTTCATTGAACTCATTCAAACGTTTTTTTTTTCTAACGGTAAAAGAATTTTAGGGTAAAGTGTTTTATTTGTTCCTTAAATTCTCATAGGCAACTAAAGTTATATAATATATAATAGTTGCCACCAAATATTTTTGTGTTGCTGAACCATTTAGTAATGGGTTAAACTTATTAACTGATTGGGCATTAAGAAAGTGATATTTAAAATATAAGTTCAAAATGTTATAGTGACACCAGATTGACCGTTTCTAACTTGTGAAATGACCCAAATTGTAAAGCTGACTCCGAAAAATAAATGAACAAAAAAATCATCTCAAAAACCAATCATATAAAAGAATTATTACGATTTTTGGGTTAAGCGGGCCAAAATGTATTAGAAAAATATAGCGCCACTAAATGTACATTTTTTTAAATTTATTTATAATGTTATTTTATTTTTGTTTTGGTTTGTGTTTGTGTAATGGTTTTCTTACATAAAAGGTCGACATAAAATCCATTTTCATACAAAAAAAATTGCAACGAATATCAAGACTAAATTATAGATCTGTATAAAAATGTAAGTATAATCCGAAAAACATGAGAATAAAGAATTGTACTAAAGAAATTGCAATAGCGACGCCACTTATAAGATTTTAAGGTAACTTATCAAACATCCCTCGTATTTATGTAACTGTACCCTAAGGACTTGTGTTTCATAGTCATTGCAACTAATTAAATTTATTGACGCTAGAGACACTTTGTTGGGTCTCTAAATGACATTATTAGTGTGGGATACCTGTCAATCCTAAACATGTATACTTAGTATAACATTACCATTTGTAATGTAATTAATTAGTTAGGTATCTTTTTAAATGTGGCATGAAAATTGGAATTCACAAAAGGGCTGAAAGTGTAAAGCTGTGCGCATTAATTATTACCTTACTTACTTCTTCTGCAAATTGTTTCAACCTGCCTCCGTTCATTACCACCAAATGAAGTACATTACGTCTGTTAACGTCTTTGATATTGATATCAGCTCCCAGTCTTATTAGCGTGTGCACAGTCCGCCAACCGCCTCTTAATGCGGCCAGCAGCAATGGAGATCGTTTTTCCTTATCCATGCAATTTTTGTCGGCACCTGGGACAGAATTCGTAAAATTAGAAATTAAAAAATGACTATCTTTATTTTTAATCAAAATATGGAAAAAAATTTGGTATTTAAATCCAGTTATAAATATATGTTTTATTAAACAATAGTAATTAACAGATTTAAGTTAAATTTTAATATTTTAAAGATGACACGGATTTTGTTGGTCCATTTAATAATTGGATATAATTAAAAACTGATTAATAATTATTTATAAATTTAATTTATTGTGCTTTGTATTCTGTTCATTAAACATTTAAACTTCAAATTCAAGTCTTGAATTAAAATCGGTTAAAAATATAGTACATCATAAATAGGCATTCGTCGCCGTTTTTTATATATTTTTTTCAAGCGTTTAATTAGAATGTCATATTTTTATTTGTTATAAACACAGACTATAAAGGTTATAAATCGAAATGTATTCCTTAAAAATAGACAACACACTGAAAGTAAAGAAAATTTTTTATGAGTAGGTACTTTACAGTGGAGTCCGAGCCCAAATTTAAGTTATAGTTTACTGCCGGCGAAATTGAAAGGTCAGTACAATGTTCATAAAAACTTTTCAAATATTGGCGCTGAGAAACTATTTAATACTTTTGTATTTTTGTAATTAGGGAATAAAATAATTTTTTGTATTTAGATAATAAATTTATTTTCAGTCGCGTCCCAGTAGGTACTTGACGGAGCAAGAGCCATCGTAGTAGCGCGAGCTCTTATAACGTAAAACGTAAAAGACATATCCAACAAATAACTTCTCATAAAGTGCAATCAAACTATAGGGTAACAGCCATATCCATCAAATAATCTCTCATACAGTGCAGACAAATTATAGTGAGTACAGAGTCTGTACTACAGACTACTCAACGTTCAAGAATGAGTGAAGTGCTAAGTGATAAGGAAGAGTTAAGCGACAAGTGCAAACTAATATAGTGAAACGGTCAATAAAGAGTTAAGTGTTAAGTGATAAGAAAGAGTTAAGCTTCTGAGCGGTGGCACCACCTGTCAACCGGACGATTTTCACTGGCCAAACAAAAGAGGTCAAACAAGGGAGGAATGGGCCATCTGTAAAAATTTGATAAGTATCCTCAACTCATCTGCATGACCTAACACATAATTTGCAAAATTAAACAAGACAAGGCACACTGCCTAATCTCTACAAAAAACCAATAAACATCGGTAACAATAAAAACATTACCTACTAACCAAAAACAAAACGTCCCAACCGAATCTATCGCGGCCATACACCAAAGTTGAGTGGGACAATAAATCTGTCAACAAAACAGTCCAAGATTAACAAAAACGAGACCAAATAAGCATTTGACACTTAGAACATAAACTAACACTCAATAAATTAACCCGTAACCGGTACTGTACGACTTTCAGGACATAAACGGTACTAAGGGGTCTGAGAGACACCTGCCTTTTAAAATTATAATTTATATTATTTTTTTTATCTGAGGCTTTGGGGATACTAGGAAATATATATAAAGTTAGAATATCACCAAAAATAATACCTGAATAAAAGAAAAATTTAAACAAATAGGTTTTAATCAAAACATGTACAAAAAGTGCAGTAGTGCAAACTTTGTGATTAAACTATAAAAAATATTAAACCAAACAAAATAAAACGATCTTTATTTCGAAGAATATACCTTAAAAAATAACATAAACAAAAAAAATTTAAATAAATCTTTTTTTAACAGCAAAAATAACTGCTTCAAACTATAGCTAATTTTTACAATTATTTTTCCATAGTAACTTTTTTGTTTTTTTTTTCAAATTCTTAAAAAATTTCAAATTCTTCACTATCTGACCCTATAAAATTATTTTCTATAGACTCTTCACAGACAAGTCCTGAATCGCTGCTGTGATTATCTTCAACGACATAATCACTATAATGGTTATGTAGTACGAGTATACTACAGTCATCTATAGATGCTTATGCACTTATATCGCTGTCGATTTCAGAAACCACTACAGTACAGTTTCCTTGAAGCCCTTCTTATCACTTTGGACACGTTTAGAAGGCCCTTGTTGCGAATCCATAACGAATTAATTGTTTTATAAAAATAACGTAAACGGTACGCAGTGGTCTAATAGACACCTCAACACTTTGACTCCTAATAATTTGTCCGTTTGACAATCCAACCTGTTCAAAGTCTAAGAGCATATTGATAACTGCTCAACTTAAAAGTATTGGAAGCGACAGATTTTTAAAACAAAAGGTGAGGGTGGGACAGGGCTTTGTTCGTTGATGAGTGTCTCCCAGACACCACAGTACCGGTTACGGGTTAAGATAACCCAAACAAAGTAAAAACAGCAAAATAATCAAACTCTATTGGATTTGTAAACACATTAGATTATAACAGAATGATTGCGCTTGTCGCTTGTTTAACCAATAAATAAATTCAATACTTAATTTTGGAATTAAGAAAAAAAAGACTAATCAATTCTACCACAAAACGTGCTTGGGCAACACAATAACTAAAAAATTGTTAGAAAATCGCACTACTGCGCCAATAAACAATTTAAAAAAAAAAAACATCAAAAGCTGCTAGTTACATATCCAACTACTGAACTATCTATTGATGGTTTTCGGCCTCAAGACTAAAGACACATGTTCAGGAACAATCCTACTAACAACGACAAAAATGTAGACGTATGCTCCTGCAGCAAAATAACAACTCCCGAAGTCCATACAGTAATCCCAAATGTTTAGAGTAATACTAACTGCCTGGTATAGGGAGGTACCGCGTCGTACTTAGATTAGTCGGCGTAATTGTCCCCCAAACACCAAACTGTCTATCCCTCCTGTCCTACCTCCTTCATTACCCTACTGGACGTATAGCTTCGGCTCGGCGAACCCAGGAATGGATACTAAAACTATTGGCATTTCGCTCTCGAGCCCTAATTAGGGGACAATACGGGACGCAATGGACATTCGCAACCAGCACGGGTGAAGCCGCGCCGTTGTGGATGGCGAAAGAAAATCGGCGCAAGGAAACAGAGGCCTATGCGGGGCCCGGGAGCGATGAGGCAATAGGCCGGTTATACGTCTCTTATACTCATACTCAATTTAGTATTATTTTACAAGAAAGGCACTTTATTTTAACGATTGTATGACATTTGACAACTGTCAACTAAATTAATACTAACTTTAGCCCGTGACTAAAAATCTGTTGTTAACTTCAGTAACTAAAACGCCATAAAGCCACGTACGATAATGAGCGTTTTAAAGATGGGAGTAGAATATAGTATATTATGTATCAAGTTTGATAAACGCCATTTTATACACGAATTTAATTTAGGCACGAGCGAGCTTGCGAGCGAATGCTTAAGTTAATGAGTGTATAGAAAAGTTTATAAACGAGGTGCATACTATACTTTTTCTACCACAAATACTTATTATTATCTTAAAATGATTTAAATCAAAAATTTGTATAGAGCGCCATCTATGAAACAACAGGGGAAACTGTTAACTGTCACATTTTTACATTTTATAAACACAATTATAAAGGTTATAAACACATTTATAAAGGTTATAAACCGAAATGTGTCTTGAAAATTGACAGTTTTTCACAGTGAAAGTAAAGGAAATGTTTTATGAGGACTTTACAGTAGAGTCCGTGCCCGAATTTAAGTTATAGTTTACTGCCGGCGAAATTAAAAGGTCAGTACAATGTTCATATAAACTTTTCAAATATTGGCGTTGAGAAACTATTTAATATTTTTGTATTGGATAATAAAATAATTTTCACATTTAGTATTATTTTACAAGAAAGGCACTTTATTTTAACGATTGTATGCAGTGGCGGCTCGTGCCTTCCGCGCTGGGGTAGGCGACACCCACTAGTGCCAGTAGAGTGGCTACATCGATCGTTCGATCGTTTTCATTAAGGCGAGAAAATGGATTTTCAAGTAATGAGCAAATAATGTCATGAAATGGGCCCTCCATTATTGCAAAATAATACTCTTGTTTATTAAACAAGGCTAATAATCAACGCTAATACTACCTAACTTTTAGGTAGTACCTAATTCTAATACAAAATAATACTACCTAATTCTAATACTAACAAATAATAATAAATAATGATACAGTAATACTTAGCGGGTAATTAATTTCCTGACACAGTCACAAAAATAAAGTGAATTTGGCTTAAAACAATAATTATTATTGTTTAGCTCAAAAACATCTAATTGACAGAACTAAAATGTAAGAGAAATCTGCTTAAAATCCCTTTATCGTTCGAATTTATCTCAACAGATGTCACTATTTTAAATTAATTATTTATTATATTAATATATTCTTGCAAATAATGTTATTTACAGGACTTTTAATATTAAATTCATACCTATTATATTCTAAACCTCTTGCATTGAGATCGATCATTTTATCGATTACCGGCTTAAAAAAATAACTTACTGACAAGAACAAGTCGGAAGCCGAATCGGCTTTCGGATAGCCAAAGGCGAACAATCGTGTCGCCTAGTAGACGCCTACCCATCGCAATTTTACCATACGTCAACGGCGTTTCTATTGGTCAGCGGTATAGCGTTCTTTACTTGGTTGACGTGCGGGAATCAAATAAATAGGCGCTTGTGATAGTCGCCTTTGCAGCTTTAGATGCTGATTTAGAGCATAGATAAAGGTGTAAACTAGCTACTTTCGTCATGACGCATCACGTAATAATTCAATAAAAGGTTTTATTTGCGATAAATAAGATTTATGAATGCAATAAAAATAATTTAATTAAATTTGGTAATTTTATTAATGTTAAATTAGGTACTTATATTTATTATTTTACATCCATATTTCCAGGGTAGGCGGCGCCTACCTTGCCTACCCCGACGAGCCGCCACTGATTGTATGACATTTGACAACTGTCAACTAACTTAAAACTAACTTCAGCCTGTGACTAAAAACCTGTTGCTAACTTCAGCCCGTGACTAAACCGCTATAAAGCCACAACTTTTCAATGTGTATTTAAAAG